CCCTCTTGGCCACCACCTCACACTGCTGACTCATGTTTAGCCTGCAGTTGACCAGCACCCCAAGATCCGTTTCACAAGTGCTGTGTAATTCCCCATGTCTCTTCTACTACCCTTTTTGAAAACTGGGACCACTGATGCCACCCTCCAGTCCTCTGGAACCTCACCCATTCTCCATGAGGCCTCAAAAATGGAGGGCAATGGGCATGAGAGGACACCCACCAACTCCTGAAGTACCTTCGGGTGTACTCGGTTAGGGCCCGGTGCCTTTGCAATGTCCAGTGCCCTGAGGAGCTCCTCGACTTCTGGGGGGGTGACTCTAATCTGTGCCCCTAAATCCCTAGCCTCATCCAGTCCCCCATGTAGATCTCCCCCATCCTGCTTTGGAGAGAACACAGAGGCAAAATAACCATTCCCTCACATAGGCCACTGAATCCCCTTCCTCCTCATTAAGTGGTCCCACTGCTGGTCCCCCCTTCCTCTTGCTATTTACATGCTGACAGAAGCCCTTTTTGTTGCTCCCGATATTCTTGGCAAGTTCAGCTCATAATCAGCCTTAGCCTTGCGAAGAATCCTTCTGCAACGGGCCTCCTCCTCCCGGTAGACCCTTTCATCTATCTGCCCCAGTGTGCATTTCCTACGGAGGTTCCTCTTACGACTAATCCCTCTTACCACCTGCTTTCGCATCCGTGGTGGTGCTCTCCCCACCTTGCTAACTAGCGGTATCATCAGACTTGTGCCTCCAAGACCTTCCACACGAGGTGGCTGAGGCCCCATTGGTGAGGGTGTTCAAGGATAGGCTGGAGATGCACATGGGAGGCATGTCCTGAGTGGAGCCGGCTGGAGCCGGGGTCAGACTAGATGGCCCAGGAGACCCCTTCTGATTTGCTCTGCTTCTATGTTTCTATGACCTCCCATTTGAGTGCCTTCCACACCTCCTGATGTGCATCTCCCTCCGCTTGTTGCCCTCCTCCGAACCCTTTCCAGTTTGTCTGCATCGTTCTTGAAGTGTGATGCCCAGAACGGGACAGAGCACTCCAGGTGAGGCCTCTCCAGTGCTGAGTCGAGGGGCACTGGTGCCTCACAGGACTTGGAAGTGATGCTTCTATTAATGCACCCTAAAACAGCATATCCCCTTTCTGCAGCCACATCACATTGTCGGCTCATGTTCAATTCTGATCCCCCCTGTGGTGGAAAGAAAAACATGATCCAATGGGGCAAAGCTAAAGCAGTTGGGTCAGGAAGTACTTTCCAATGGTTAGGACCCCAGGATATGGAGGGGGCTTCCAGGGGAGGTGGCGGGGGCCCCGTTGGTGAGGGCATTCAGGGAAAGATTGGACACCCACATGCTGGACATTATATGCGTGGTGCTGGCTTGCACTGGGGATCAGACTCAATGGCCCCGGAGGCCCCTTCCAACTTGCTCCGCTTCTATGGTCCACAACACTCCCAGGATCCTTCCCACATGCAGTATTGCTGAGTCAAGTGTTCCCCATCTTGTGACAATGCACTGGGTTCCTCTTCCCAGCTACAGGTCGGGCAGCTGTGCTCATCGCGGCACATTGCTTGGCCTTCAGCCCAGCACGCCAACCCGTCACGATTGCCGTGGGTCTTCTCTCTGTCTTCCAGGGTACGAGCAGTTCCAGACAGCAATGCGGGTAGTTGGCAGGGATCAGCAACCTCCAGACCCTCTACAGCCTTTCCCTGAAATGGTGTCTACGGCTTTTTTTGATGAGAAAAGTGTGGTCTTTCCTGTGAATGAGGGATGAAGCCTCGTGCATCAGTACAAGTTTGCTGTGCCACTGCTCTGCCTTGTGCTTGTGTAACAGAACACATAAAAAGGCAGAGAAAGGAACCCCCCGAGGGGGAAAAGCAGTGGAAAGGAACTAACCTGAATCCCTCTGTGAATCTGGGTGCAGAAGCCTGGACGAAGTGCCTTAAAGGCATCGAAAGCCTCGTGTGGAGACTCTGTCCATGACAGCAAGAGGTTAAACCTCACTGCCCCGCCCATGTTGGCTTGAGCAGCATCCCCAGGTTCAGCACTGGAGGAGCAGCTCCCAACAGCTCCTCCCGAGTGGGATTTGGCTCGTGGGCTGAAGGAGGGTCCCTGGCCTTGGTATACAGCAAGCGGGGGGTGGGGGGGAGACATGTAAGTGGCCGCAATGCCCCTCTCCCTCTCGTCTTTGTGGCCACCTGGCACCCCAGTCGCTGAGACTGCTTGCTCCTGGTTGCATCTGGAGAGCAAAGAAAGGAGCCAGCTCAGTTCCTGAGGAGGCGTGTTCGAGGGCGAGTGCTTGGCGAGGAAGAGCCCCGAGTACGTCCCCCCGTGGGAGGCGGGGGAGCAGCTGGCGGAGGGATGCTGCCCCGAATGCTGATCGGCACCGCCTACCCTGCGTTCGTTGGGGTGATGTGACCGTTTTGACACGGTCCCCCCACCCCTTACTAGCGTTCTCGGTGGAGAAGCGATGCTCACGCCTGCTCTGCGGCTGGCGCGACGCTCTGCCATGGCAGGGGCGCGTGCAGGGCCCACGCAGGGCATTCCACGCGAGATCTCCCGCCGCTTGCCTTTGTGCCTCCCTGTCTCGGCCACTGCCGTCCCCTCCAGGCTGTTCCACCGGCGTGTCAGTCAGGGAAGGGGCCCTGCCCGCGGCAGCAACCGCGCTGGAGCTCGCGGCACCCAGTTCTCGCTCGCCACTTCGTGGAGGTGTGGTGCGCATCCAGAAGGGTGCAAAGGGCCCGGGGTTGCCATAGAGACTCCTTCGGGGTCCGAAGAAGGTAGGAGGGACAGCACCGGCCCCGCCAGTCCCAACCCTTGCAGGCCCCGGCCGGTGCCAAGAGGCCCCGAGAGGAGCGCAGCGCAGCGCCTCTTCCGCTCCGCGGGTCGCCCCGTCGCCCCGCGGGGCTGGGGAAAAAAGCGGGAGAAGGCGCTTCTCGGGGCCGCCCTGCGGGGCGCACAGACGCCGAAGAGGAGGGCACCTCTCCAGCCGCGGCTCAGCCGACTGCGGTCCAGCCGACGCCAGCTGATCTCCGGCTTGCGTCCCGGCGCACCACGACCCAGATCCTCCGCCAGCGGCCTCGGAGCATGTGCCGCGCGTCCCCGCGCCGCTCGCTCTCCCGCCGCTGAGTCAGGTCGCGGGGCGGTCTGCGGAGAGGCGCCCGGCCTGCGGGAGGGGCGTCCTCGGCCGGGGAGGGGGCGGCCGCTCGGCCTCCTCCGACCAAGCCGGGCGCGGAGACGCTCCGCGAGCAGGCGCAGCGCCCGCCCACCTTCGCGCCTTCCGCGGGGAGGGGGCAGCGGAGGCGCGCGTGAAAGGAGGGCTGGTGCCAAGGGGAGGGGGCGCGGCGAGAGGAGGGCCGGGCCGGGCCGGGCCGGGCCGGGCAGGAGCGGGGCGGGCTGAGGAGCAGGCAACGCGGATCGGGTTTCAGCGGAGCGGCCGCTCGCTCCTCGCTCGCAGCGCCGGGCCGTTCCGCCTCCCGACCAAGCCGACCCCTTGGCGGCGGGCGGCGCCCGAGCGGGCTGCCTCTGCGTCGCGCGAAGACGCCTCCACGGCAGCAGCGCCACTCGGGTGGCCAGGAGCGAGGATGGACGTAGGTGACCCGGCGCCAGACGCGCCGCCCCGCAGCGCCCCATCGAGCCTCCCGCCCGGCCCCGCGCCCCGAGGGCGGCGGATGGGGCAACCTGCCGGTCCGGTCCGGGCCGCGGGCGTTGGATGGGGCCTCCCCCCCTGGAGGGTCCCCTAGCCGGGGCCGCTTTGCTCCCGCCCAACAGCTGCCCGGCCCCGCGACGTCGCGGGAGCCAGAAGCGCCCCTGCCCGGTTTGTCCTCCGAAGACGCTGCGCGGGGGGAGGCTGCGTGCGCGTTGCTTGCAGGGGCTCCGCGAGGGGAAAGGGGCTCCCAGCTCAGGTTTCACGGGCCGGACCGGCTCCGCCTCGCCTGCTGCGCTCCCCCCGCGCTCGGCGCTGGCCAAATTGGAACCAGCTGCGGCACTTTGGCGACTGCACGCCTCCTGCTGGTGATGCCGCGGCCGCTGAGGTCACTCCTGTCCGCAGCCTCCCTCCGGCCGGCATCAGCCTCTTTCCCCGAAAGCGCGGGGCGCCGATCGGGGCCCCGGCTGCTCTCGCCTTGCCAGCTTGTGGGCTGGTGACGGAGCGGCTGGAGCAGGAGCCGTCTCCTCCTTCAGGCACGGGATGAGGGCGTGCGTCCTTCCAGCGAGGAAGGGGTGCCGCTCTCCGCTCCCCGGCTGGGTCGGTGCTTTCCTGCTCCAGGAGGAGATGCCCACCCCCCGGGAACCGGTCCCAGGAGCCTTGGCCGATTCCCAGGCGCGCAGGGACGGCGGATGCCTCGCATGCATGCTCGAGCCAGTCCCGCCCCCACCCGGGGGGCTGGGGGCATCTTCCCCTGG